TAACAGGCACAGGTGACTAGTGACTTCAAACCACAGATAACTAACAAACAATAGCAATGAAGTGACCCAAAATATTTTAATAACTGCAATTCAAGCTTCAGCACAAACTGACAACCAACCACTCTATAAAATTAAACAATACATATTCTAAAAATAGGTGATTATTTTCTGAATATAAATACTTATGGGAAGAACTTGACGTTTTCCTTTCGTCTTAGAAAAGTAATCATGTGTTGTGGGAAAATGTCTAACATCATTTTAAGCTACCTGATAAAGTGGAGCTTATACATGGCATACAATATTAAATGAATAAAGGTACAAAATTCTTTCAACTGCATCATTATAACTGTACAAAATATATGAATAAAGAAAATATGGTAGAAAAGCCACCAAAATTTAATAGTAGCTGCTTTAGAGTGGGAAAATGGTAGGTTGTTTATTTCTATCTAAAATTTCAAATGTTTCTACTGTGAGCATGTATTACTTCTATGATTCAAAAAATGAATCATTTCCCCCTAAAAGGTGTATTTAACATGACAGGATGTTTAAAAGCTTCCTGGTACTTCCCCCAAGTATACTCTGCCAGCAGCCGAGCCTGGCACAGGGGACAAAGCACTGCTTAAGACCCAGAGGTCATAGAACTTCCCAAGCGAGGTGGACAATGCCAGCCAATGTCATCACCACCACCTCTGGTGTCTCCACACCCCTGCACCTTTCCCCAACAGAAAAGTGAAAACATGCCTGCCCAGCTCTTGTTTTGACATGCCAGTTTGAACACTCTTTCATTGTGCCATCCAAATATCATACAAAATAGTTCAGCCAAGTAATTATCAAATAATCTTAGTCTGATGCAGATTATAGCTAGCAAATTACTGCAGGAAAACCAGCTTCTTACAAGTGTCACTAAATCTGGTTTATACAGACAACTTCACTCACACTCTTGAGTGTTGCTTATGAGAGAGCAAGAAAGCCACCTCCCAGAAGCTTCTGCAATTCACCTGAGACACTAATACTCTTCACAGTCCTCATCTGTCAACTTTTAACTAGAAATCTTAATTTCAACCAGGGGCATGGTCTTATTTAACCTTTTAAAAATAAAGTTTGCAAGATAGTAACTAATCAGGCCCTCCCTGGTGGCGCAGTGGGTTAAAGCACTGTACTAAGAATCAAAAGCTACTTCTGCATGAGTTCGATTCCCGCCTGCCCCGGAGGAGATCCACATGGTGTGGCAGACCTCTCCTGACCCGCCCGCTGCTCCCCTCAGCAGTGTACTTCGTCGATCTGCCTGTTCTGCTCCCCACTCTGTCCCTGGTGAATCCTCTCACCCTCCGCATCTCTGGCCTGTACCCCAGTTCTGTATGAATAAATAAATAAATCTTTAAAAAAAAAAAGATAGTAACTAATCAAACCATATACAGTTTGCTGAATTAACAATGGTTTATGTATTTTTGCTTGCAAATGGGGTTCCTGTCCAACCAAAGTTCACTCAGCTGGCTGTATTTCCCGCAATCTCTTCCTTTGTTCCTCCCAGATGCCCACTTCTTTCTTTGGCACGACTTTTATTCCATAATCCTCTTTAATCCTGTCCACTGGAGCCAAATGGTTCCTTCCTTCTTTCTTAATTCTGTATTGACACATTTCATCTATCTTCCCTTCCTCCAAATTTTGCCCTCTCTGCTCACTCCAGCTGCCTACACTGTGAGGGGAAGGCACATCCTCCTCTATGGCAGAAACAATCAGATCCCAGCCCACCAGCTACTTTCTCCCATTTGAGAAAATGCCAGGCACTCACAGCACCCACCAAGGGCAGGGTTCCCCTTCGGGCCTACCACCAAAACAGCCTTCCTCCAGTCAACATCTTCAGCATGGGAACTAGTGGCAGGTCTGATTCTTGATGCTGTGATAGGGAACTAACTCCATACAAAGAGAACTTTCTTGGGTTCTGCCCTGTCCGGGAGAGTTAGTTCAATTAATAAAGCCAGTTCTTCAGTCATTTTAGTTGCACTTCACATGCTTAACAGGCACAGGTGACTAGTGGCTACCATATTCAACAAAGCAGACAAAAAAATCATCGATCATTCAGAAAGTTCTACTTGAAACAGCACAATGTAGTTTATGAGATAACACTAAGCTCACAACACACCATTTTGGATAATACAAGCCAGCCAAGATAGGTATCTCTCACCCATATTCATCAGCATTTCCTTAGAGACTAAGGAGAAAGTAAGCACATATTAAACACACAGACACATACACTTTGTGTTTTAGCATTTTGGAGTGGCCTTGGGGAAGAGCTGTTTCCTGTCTCAAAGTTCAGTTTGCCATCTGCCTGCTGCTCGGGGCTAACTACCTCCTCCTCTGTCTCAGAAGATTCCTTTTCACCTGTTTTCATTTCTTTGTAGGAAGTCAAGGAAGTTTTTTTTTATTACAAAAGGTTTAAGTGAACAAAAAAACAAATGCTAGATCGTACAAGGAACCATCACGCGTGGCTCCTTTCATAAATCACTGAATTAATATCAAAAGCTTATCTCCCACAAATCCTTCACCACAGCCGTCCTGAGACACAACGCTGTCACTGACACAACCCTCAGACCAGGCTACCACAGTTTCCGCAGCACGTGTCTCCTTACCCAGCAAGTCTCCCTGCCTGTAAGTGGAGTGTTAAAAACCTAAAATTAAAATAATCCTACTATTTAAATACTTTCAACAGCCACACTCCTCCTCCAGCAGCAATTTGTCTTGGTAAACATGCTTCAAAGCTCACATTCCTGGGAGCATGATGCAATTTATAGATGAGACATCCTGTATGTGTGAGCAAGCACTTGCCCCTGGCTTTGGTGGCCCGCAACGGTCATCTATAAGGAGGTGTTTGGTTTCATTTCTCCTTCCTCTCCCCTCTTCTGGTAGCCAACTATTACTCTTACCTTATATAGCAGAAATATTAAAGGCATGCATATTGCTTGATATGGTTTAGGTTTCTGTTCCAATTTCAGTAGTACCCCAAGCAGGGAAATCTAGCTAATCACCTCTGGCTGGTGGCCAGCTCACCAGAAGCACAGCCAAGTAACACTAAGGGTGCTTCCTCCTTGCCTGTTTTATTCTCTGGCATTTCCCAACTGTGCTAACTGTTCTGTTGTGTACCTACTGGCTGTGTCAACAACATTCCCCTGGCCTCCCTCAAGTACCAGCATCACCAGCTCCCCAGGCCCACCCACCTCCACTGTTAAGTTTGCTCCACATTGCCTAGGTTTTCCTCAAGTTCACATCAGCCAGAGCACTTGGCTGCTACAGCCACCATCTTGCCCTCTCCCAAGGGCACCCAGGACTTTCCAGGTGTGTAAGCTGTATAGGCTTCACTGAGACTAAAGAAAATACTGGGAGGGTTTGTGCTTATCTGCTTCCACCTTGTCAGTCCTAGAGGTCTTCACAGACCACCTGGGGGACCACAGGAAGTACTTGCTGAGAGCCCCCAACAGCTTACTGGCCCCTAACACAAGGGGTAAGTCTTCGTATTAGCCCAGATTAGCTCTGAAGCATCAGAAAATGCCTAGGGAGGACAGTTAGGGAGAGGCCCTCAGGGAGCTGTGAATTAAAATGCCTGTGAACAGGTGAGAATTACCAGGTCCAGGGGAAGAACTACCTTCACCTTGCCAAGGAAGGGCCTGGCTCCTTTGAAAGGGCTCCCATGTCCCCAAACACATTGGGTAGCAAAGTGAGATCATGGGGGTTTTAGGTTAGGGTAGGATGAAGTTTTGAATCTCAAATTATATCACTTACTCCTATCAGGGGCCTCAATCACTTCACCTGAAACTAAAGCTGATTTCCTACTTCACAGGAACAAGATAACATATGACAAGACGGAGCCAGCATCTGGTTCAGAGTAAAAAAAATGGCTCAGAAAAAGCTTTGATTGCTGTTTGTTTTAGTGTTTTTAGATTGAAAATGGAGAGTCAACTCCTGAAGTCACAACATTATAACTGGGTGGATTTCAAGAATCAGGCAAGCCTCCCAATAAGACATTTTAAAATACATTTTCTTCTTGCCTCTGGACACCCAGGTCTCTAGCACCGTTATGAGTGTGGGGGAAAGCAACATTGTAGAACTTACCGGAATCTAGACTGTCCTGCTCTTCATGCTCGCTCAGTTGCACTGCCAGGTTTTCTACACACTGGAAAAGAAAAAGTCAGGTGGGATGTTTAGAAACTAATTAGGTGCCACACCACTTTTTGACTTGGAAAATCAACCTCAGAAAACATCAGTGAAGACACATTACACAATTGTCACATGTAAGCAGAACTAGTCTTATACTCAAGGAATATTATTTAAGAGCTAAAAATCAGGAACAGATCTGTTCCAAGCTGAAACTTGCCCGACAGCTATCATTAGGGCATTTTATTCTCAGACCATCTCCCAGGCTTCTGCTTGCTATTGCATTGCTGGCATGTGACATCTATAGATATGATCTGCAAGTACAAATCTGTATTGGAAAATGCATACAATCATCTTGCATACATAGCTACAACCCAGAAAGGGAGCTTCGTTTGGTCCTAAAGATTAGAGACTGAAAATTCAGTAAAGGAAACTGAATTTCATGTAACTGGAGGTACATTCCTGGATTGGTTTGTTCATTTGGGAAAGGGGGGTTTCTTCCCTCTACCTTTATTATCATTAGCTCTTCCACCCTGAAGAGGGAATACAAAGAAGAAAAGGGGCTCAGGGTTCCTTACCTTTACATCTTCTTTTTCAGGCAGTGATCTACTGGACACCAGATTCTTAATCTCTGGAAAAGGAATAATTCTCATTAAGATATGTTGATAGGAATTTTTTTTTTAAAGAAAAAACAAAAGGAATAGGAAATAGAAACTAGACAACAATAAAAACAAGTTGCCCAGGAACCCTATATATAGAATTAAGTTTTTAGATCAAGCTTCTAAAAAAATCAACTCTCCACAGAACAAAGTCTGATAACCTGAGTGCCCACACTCCTGCATTTGTGTGGACCAAGATGTAAACAAGCCTAGTATCTCTCACCGGAAATCATGAGGGGGGAAAAAAACAGTTAAATAAATAAATACCCTTGAATTACAAGAAAGACTACTCACTGACACACGGCTCTTCAAATCAGCACAGATGCTAAGGGGAGGGCTCACTCCACCTGAGCAAATCCCTCCTATCTATCCCCTCATGAGTGCAGGTTCAAGACAGCACTTGGTTTAGGTGAGGTCTGGCCTTTGCTCACGCATCTTTGAAAGCTGAGACCTGTGAAGTCTGTGCCGCCCACCTGGGACAACGTCAAGCTGAGTGCTCTTGAGCCCTCCCCCCCCCCCCCCAAGGGCTCTCTCTCTGAATACAGGCTTTCCTGGAAATATCAGTGGTCGAGATGTTCTGGGATGAGCAGGAAAGGAAGGTTCACTTAAGGGTATTTTTCTGTCTCGACTGATTAGTTTTCTTCTCAAATACTCAGTTGTCTGTAAACAAGGGCCACTGTTGTGTAAATACCCACCAAAAGCACGTTAGGACTTGGGGAAAATAAGTGTTGGCTACTTCTAGCAAGGGCAGAGGGCTTAAAAACCTTTACCGGGGATTTGCATTATATAAGCTCCTCCTCGGAACCCTGCAGCCAGGCCCTGCCTAGTGCTGACTCTGGGGAAACTGTACTAGTTTACCCAGCAAGTGCAGTACCTAGACCTTCCAGGCTGCACTCGATCCCTCCTGTTCATGTAAGTCACATCTCCAAGTGGACTTATTCAAGCTCTTCTTATTGCTTAGAAATACGAAAAGGGGCCCTCCCTGGTGGTGCAGCAGGTTAAAGCACAGCACTAAGAAGCTAAAGCCACTTCAGCATGAGTTCGATCCCAGCCCCAGGGATGATCCACATGGCGTGGCAGACCTCTCCTGACCCGCCTGCTGCTCCCCTCAGTAGAGTACTTCATCAGTCGGCCTGTTCTGCTCCCCACTCTGTCTCTGGTGAATCCTCTCACCACTCTTGCACCTCTGGCCTGTGTCCCAGTTCTGTATGCATAAGTAAAGCTTTTTTAAAAAAATGACAGGAATTTTCATGTTTCTGTTTAGAAAAAGCGTAAGAGTATAAGGCATTCCTTTATATGGATTTTCATATTATGATGAGTCATAATAAACAAGGATGGAACAGAGATGTCAACAAAACCGTTGCCACTGTTGATTTTTCAAAATCTGCATAACAATCTTTTTGATTCTACTGTACAAGCAATAGTATATTTGCATACTACAAAATCGTCCTTGAAGTCAGAATACATTTAGTATCTATGAGGAAAAAATGTAAATGCAACAGCCTCAAATTCATTTAGTCATATCATTTACCCACAGTATTAAAGACAAGTTAGAGCAGACACCAGGCTGGGTGGCTCTAGGGTCCCAGGGCCTTTAAATGCACAACCCAGTAAGGCCTCCAGGTGGCAGCAGAGGAACGTCTGTATGTACTACCTAACTCAACTGGGAAGTGGTGGTGGGTAGGATCTGAATACACAGTTGGAGAGGTTTGAAACTATAGCCCCTAAAACAAACACAATGATGTCAACCAACGGTGCCTCCGAAACATAATCGTGGGAGGAGAAGGGGGAAAATGTTATTGAAGTGCCAAAGTCCAAACACTATGTTAGAAGAAAGCTTTTAATCTGACTGCAGAGATGCAGAAAATTGATGGGCAGCATCTCCTATAGAGCTTACCACATTACTGAAGCTTAGTAAGGGTTTTGTTTAGAAACATGTACCCAAAGCCCTAAGAGCTGGGTATGTGGGGAAGATGAAGCCAATAAGAAAGGGAAGGGAACCAGAACCCAAGTTTTAACAGATGCCATCAAATATGACGAGAATCACGAACATTTTTATTTTGCCATTTGCAAGGTCTTCCTTTAAGGCCATTTCAGAGAATGTGTTTTTTTTTTTTTTTAAATAACAGTGTTTTAGCTTTTCTTTCTATATTTTTCTTAAAATGAAAGTTATTCAGTAAATATTTTTTAAAAACTAAATAGTCTAGGGCCTTCCTGTTGGCACAGGGGTTAAATCTCAGCACTATGAAGCTATCACCAGCTACTTCAGCAAAAGTTCAATACCCGGCCAGGGAGCTGCACCACATGGCCCAGAAACCTCTCCTGTCCTGCCCGCTGCTCCCCTCAGCAGTGTATTTTAGTCAATTTGCCTGTTCTGCTCCCCACTCTGTCTCTGGTGAACCCTCTCAACCCCACACCTCTGGCCTACAGCCCAGTTCTTGTATGCATAAATAAAGAAATCTTTTTAAAAAAAAAAAACAAAACAGTCTAACTATATGCCTGATTATAAAATAAAATGTTGACATTTACTTAGTTAATGTACTTCTTTGTTTTTATTCAATTAAATTCACTTTGACCTTACAACTCAAAAAATGATTTTAAAGCAGAATAATTCTTTTGGTGGTGGCTAATTTTTATTGAAGAGTTTAAATAAAGGGATCATTTGCCTCTTTATTTTATGTTGCCCCTACCTTTGCTAGTTTTGTATTTTACTTAATCATATTGTCTGCACAAGAAGAACCAATATTTATCTTTCATTCTGACTTGATTGAATTCCCTTGAATTCCTTCCATTTTGTTATAAATGGCAACATTTTGTCTTTCCCTGTGACTTAATAGTATTTCATAGTGTAGAGAGACAATATATTCTTGATCCTTCTTCTCTTGATGCGCATTAAAGTTACTTCCATGTCCTAGCTATTGTAAATAGTGCTACAATAAACATTGTAGAACATGTGACTTGAGTAGATGATTTCACATTTTTCAGATGCCCATGAGTGGAACTGCTAAGTGATAAAGTATTTCATTTTTAGTGTTTCAAGGAAAACCTAGATCATTTTCAAAAATGGGTTTCAGAATGCATTCCCACCAACAGCATAATGGGGTTCCTCCTCTCCTACATATTATCACTTTTTTTCCCAATATATGCCATTTTCATAGATGTGAGACCATGTCTCTGTGCATTTTCCTTATTAAAAGCCATAGGCATTTTTCTCCATAACTACTGACCTTCTGGATGTCCTCTGTGGTGAATTATCTATCCAGGTCTGCTGCACATTTATTAGTTGGTTTGTTTTGTTGCATACTATAAGTTTTTTTATATATCTTGGATATTAACCACTTATTGGCTGTGTAATATATAAATATTATCTCCCATTCAGAAGGATGTGTTTAATATACTTGTCTTTTTTTCCCTATGAAAAAGCTTTCTAGTTGACAGTAATCCCAACTGCTAATTTTTGCTTCCTATCTCTTGCTATAAGGGTCAAGTCTGTAACAACTCTGCAAAAAAACTCTGCATTTCTAAAGAATTCTGTACCTCCAGCATTGATACTGAAAAATAGTGCATATTTTATTCCAGCTGGCTAAGGGAGACGCCTATATCATCTGGTAATGAAATTTGCAATAACAATGGATGTGTTCAGTCCTTGCAGTTAGGCTTAGATTCTAGCTTCCTGCCCCTCTGGAAAAGCTAGTCATCATATGTTGTTATTCTATAATTTTCCTTATAATCTAATGCAATTTTGTTTCATTTTTAAACAAATACCTTAGGCTATATTAAAACAGACAAGTATTTATTTTTTTAAATAAATTTCAATTGTATAAAACCTCTATTCTAAAATCATGAAAAATATTTGAGACAGTGTATGAATTCAGGGTAATTATCTAGGATTATACAGAACTGTATCTCAGAACTTTTAAAGAATTTGGCATTCATTCTGGTAGAGTTTAATTAAATTGCTCCAGGAGAGTTTCTGCTAAATTACTAGGATCCTTTTACACTCACCCACCTGTACCGCCAATGGCACAGTGCAATCAAACCACCCATTGCTATAGCAACCTTCAGCAGATAATGATATCAGTAACTCTGTGCTATTTCCTTTTTAAAGGTCTATTAATCTTACCTACAAGGCCCATCCGGCAGTAAGGATTACTCCCCTCTAAATCAGACTGACCAAACTTATTAAACTACAATAGAACATGAAGTAACTTTAATATTCATGTTTACTCAGTGACAATCAGCAAATTATTTTCAACCCACTAAGTATTAATAGTCATGAGATTAACACTATATCCCGCTAACAGAGTCTCCCCAAAGATCTGACGTTGTGTACATTTTGCTGTCTCTTTTTCTATAAAGGGAGGGACCACAGAAGTGAGAGTGAAGCAAAGAAAATATATTAAAGATAAACACAGTTGGAGAGAGAGGGGGAGAGCTGAAGGGGACCAGTAGGGGAATACAGGTCATAAAAAAATAAAATTACAGGTTTCTGGGTATTCTCCTTTCAACAACCATTTGCAGGCCATGTGATGCCTCCTCCAGGAAGGAGGCAAGAAGAATTATAGTGATAATGATCAAAGCAGCCCGTGCCTGCTGCTTCAGCCCTACCCTCATGTTCTGCTAGCCACTCTCAAATTCACTGGGTAAATTTGCAGGGTAGCATCAAGCACAATTGGAAAGTAGGAATCCTATTCTCAGCTTGCCCCACAAATGCCAGAAGGGACTTTATTTCAAACTAGAAGTTGATTTTTTTTTTTTTAAAGAACAATGTGGATAAAGGGCAAGGGTATAAGATACAAAACAGATATGAAACATATATAAAATACATAGAAAAAAACACAGGGGAGTTTGAGAAATATCTTTGAGGATTCATCCCCAGCAGTAAGAAAAACAAGGGGGAATATAAACAACCTGGACTACATCAGAACAAGAAGCTTCTGTACAGTGAAAGAGGCAGTAACCAAAATGAAGA